GTGTCCCTGGTTGTGGTCGTCGGATGTACCGAGGGTTCTGGTAGCGACTGACACCCTTGAAGTGTGAACCAAAGTTCGTTGAACCTAAAAACGCGGAAGGTCGGAAAAGAGAGGTCTGAGACCGCGGAACTCGAAGGTTTACTTTGAGTGGTTTTGAACGCAAAGCAGACTTTTCTCCTGAAACATGCGTGACCGTTGGACAGGTCACGAACGAAAAGGCATGGGTTCGCAGTCTGCGGAGAAGGCAAAAGACCTCAAGTCTTCACACCGGAACTGGTACCCTTATGCCGATAACATCGGATAAAAGGGCCTGTGCAGACACTTGTCCTGAAAACTTCCGCGCGAGACTGTGAGGTCGCGTCCACCACGGTGACCGCTTCGCGGGTTAAGACCTTCGCTGAGCAAGAAGTGTTACGACAATTCCGACGCAGTAGAGAGAACCACCGTCACAAAGACGCCGTGTAAAGGGGGAACGTTGTCTGAAAAACAACCTACACGAACTTTGACGTGCAGACACTTGTCGAACGAGAAACTCTTTAAAGAAAAACAACGAATGGAGGACTACCTCCCAACAGTTACTTGCGGAGACTGTCGTCAGTCTAGTCGTCAGAAGGGGTATGAACACTAAATCCACATGACTTGGGTCTCGACTCACAAACCCGTTCCGAGTCCTTTGGCAACCGTTCCCCACGCTCAACACTTAATCTGCTAAGTTCACTAGCAACTTGTGGGATGATCATATGAAAAAGTATCTATAGATTATGAAATCTCTATCCTATAAACTCAAAAGCATTCGACATAAGGGTATTCAGTCGTTATATATTTTATTATTTTACGAACCGTTATACAGTCAAACTAAACATTACTTAGGATCTTACATACTGTAAACAACAAAAAATTAACGTAAAATGTCTTTTAATTTCTTGAAATAGTGTTATAAGACTTAAAGACCTCGTCAGGAATTATCTATTCATTTTAACTTTATTTTTTGAGGAACCTCGGTTATGTGTCACCCTGCAGGAGGTATCGTGTCTTGGGCGCCACTCTCGAGGAGGTTACCACTTCCGAACTACTTCGAGTTTGTAAGGTACTCGGTACTACCTTTGCAACAAAAGTCTAAATTAGGGCTAGTTGGGTACTAGGTATTTTGTGTAAATTTGATATTAGGATCTATAAAATCAAACTGAGGACCGAGTGCGGACGGGCAAATAAAGTTGGTCACTAGAATGCCGGGTACTACTCTCCCCCCGTCTGCAACTTAATAGATAAAAGGCCCAGAGTAAATGCAGCTGTGTACCAAGAGATTTTAGAGCACTACATGCTTCCGTCTGCTGAAAAGCTCTATGGAGATGAGGAATTCATTTTCCAGCATGATCTGGCACCTGCCCACAGTGCCAAAACCACCAGTAACTGGTGTACTGACCATGGCATTACTGTCCTCGATTGGCCTGCAAATTCCCCTGACCTGAAACCCATAGAGAATATGTGGGGTATTGTGAAGAAGAAACTGAAAGACACCAGACCCAACAATGCTAATGAGCTAAAGGCCGCTATTGAAGCATCCTGGGCATCCATAACACCTCAGCAATGCCACAGGCTGATTGCCTCCATGCCACGCCGCATTGATGCAGTAATCCGTGCAAAAGGATTCCCAACCAAGTACTGAGTGCATTAATGGACATTTTCAAATGTTTGATTGTGTTTTGCTGTTATAAATCTTTTTTTTTTACTTGGTCTGAGGAACTATTCTAGTTTTCTTAAGCTGTATGCCATAATCAGCAATATTAAAATAATAAAAGGCTTGCAATATTTCAGTTGATTTGTAATGAATCCAGAATGTATGACATTTTTGTTTTTTTAATTGCATTACAGAAAATAAAGAACTTTATCACAATATTCTAATTTTCTGAGACAGTCCTGTATATTCTAATATGGTGCAACTGTCAAAAAAAACAATGTTCCCCTGGGATTAATAAAGTATTTTGATTGATTGATGGATAATAGCCAAACTGGCATTAATCATCTCTTCTCTTTTTGAGATTGATGTATTTTATGCATAGTGTGTGTTTAATGAAAACAACATAATAATGCTAAATCTGGAGCAGGTAGGCAAAAAACGATTGTATTATTTTGAATATTTCCTGTATATGCGCCATTATAAGGTGGCATCGCGAGATTATAATCCAAATATACAGTACAGACACACCCCTATGGGTTAAAGGAGTGTGCATTACTACATTTGTCGCAATAGTAAATCTGTCAGAAACGTTTCCTTTATGATAACCGTTTTTGTCACCTTGTCGGACTCATAGTTAGCGAGTCTGCAGCTGAGGTCTGCGTAGCCCCAGGCGAAGGTCTTGCTCCAGGTGGGTGGAACCAGAACTTTGTTTTGCTCCACAGCAAGTATCCCCTTGTCCGTGCACACGATCTGTCCCACAGGTTCTTTCAGCTCTGCAACACAAAGCAACATGTGAGTCTACAGGGATTCCTGCACCTTAGCGAGGTCACAGTATGGAAGTACAAGGTTCTTACAGGAATTTACATTACAATTTTTTTTTTTTAAGTGTATATTTGTGCTTGTATATGTACCTTTTACTGGGGCTAAAGAAGGTCTGAGATTGTCCAGATGATGGAAGAAGATCTTGTCGCCGTTGGAGCTTGGAGGAACGCTCGACGCGTCACCGTTGGCTTTGCTGCGGACCCGTTTAGGAGGATGAGGCTTCTTGAACAGCTGAAACACAAACAGAACAGTGAAGAAGGTTCACTTATACATGAAGGGCTAAATGGAGAGTATCTTCATTTTAATTTTATTTTTTACTAGCTATACCAAATAATATTTGGTTCAAAGACATGGTAGCCATCATGCTGTCTTGCTATAACTGATAATGTAGGCCTGGCATATTTTATGTAGAGAGAAATGTGTTCGACTCCCTTTAAAATGTAACCAAAAGCAGTTTTGAGTTTGAGTTTAGGAATGATTTGTTTTCTAGTGCAGTTCAAAGAAAATTAAACTGCAGTAATTAAATTCCGGACTAGTTATTTAATAAAAACTGTAGTCCAAGTTGTAAAAATAAGTGTAGTATTAGCAGTTGTAGTAGTTTTGTGAGCATTAGTGGCCTTTTGTACTCCAACATAGGCCCGTATCTGACCTGTTTGGGGATTTGTCCGAAGTTGTTGATGAAACCGATGGTGGCTGTCTCTTTGAGTGGGTCGTTGATGTTGTAGATATCCACCTGACCCTCGTAGAACAGGTGGTGGAAGACGTTGACTGCCTCAACAGCCGGCGGGCCCTGCTGCTTGTACCCGAAGATCAGGTCGATCCATTCGTGGAGGTGGGCCGATACGTAGTCGCACTCCAAAGCCTGGACACAGGTGGGGAGGACAACGGAGGTTAATGTGTACTCGCTTGAAAACTCAACCTAAATCATCGCAAATGTGTTTATTTCATACGTCTCTGTGCACTCGGATGAACTCCCGTGGGTCTCCCTTGGCCCAGGGCGGCAGGATGACGTCACCCAGCCTGATGCCATTCTGCTTGGCCCCTGTGACATCACACAAAAGAAGGCAGACCGAACGTTAGTATCCACCATTGTTCTCAATAAGATCAACTAGCCGCCATTGGCCACGCTTTCCGATACTAACCCAGGTCAAAGTTGTTAGCGTTGAGTATGAACTCGGGCAGATAAAAGAACTCAGGGATGAGCTCCTTGACGTCGGCCATGTTGTGTTTGGAGGCAGAGAGCCAGGCTTCACGCATACTGTGGAACATCCTGTCAGCCAGGTCAAAATGTCCTCCCTGGTGAACGAACACACACACACACACACACACACACACACACACACACACACACACACACACACACACACACACACACACACACACACACACACACACACACACACACACACGAAATGACATGACATTCTGACACTAGGCTTTCAGGTGAACTTACGGTTGTAAAATAATATTTGTTTTACTAAAAGGATAGTTATATTTTCCATTAGGCCCAAACCCAACCCTAACCTTTAAAATCTGACAAAAGCAGAGCCTACACAACATAAGCTGAAAAATGCCATTAAATAGGACATATTATGCTCATTTTCAGGTTCACCAAAAGCAGGGATTTGAGCCTTTGCAGACCATTTACATGCACACAAACCTATATAGGACACTCAAGGAATGGGCAAACCCCAAAAGCATAATAGGGCCTTTTTAGCGTATGCAGTTGGACTGAAAACGACTAAATGTAAAGCTAATAGAATGTAATTAAAGAAACAATACATTACATTAGATAAGTCTGGACCAGACGAGGAGAGTTCAAATCAAACCTGAAGTCTGAGGAAAATCTGAGTGAAGGGCTCCATCCGGACCAGATAGGAGGCTACGATCATGGCTGATGAGTAGTGTGTGCCGTAGTGGTATGCTGGGGTTTCACCTGGCAGGACAGAAAACAACACTTTAACAATACTGGAACATGAAAACACAACCTAGACAAAAAGATTTTCTGAGCTTATGTTAACCACAGACCTTATTTCAGGCTTCTAAACACAAACATGTTCAAAAAACCATTGCCTGTGATCAATAACGATGTACTTGGATAACTCACTGGAGGGGGACTATTTTATAAGCTATCGTTTCTGCCCTCCCGCTTCAAATATATTTCTTTAACTCTGTCTTATCTCTGATCTCCCTGACTCCCTCATGTTAAACACTGTCTGTTGTGTGGAGGTCTTACCGGTGGGGTCTTCCCAGTCCTTGTACCGCTTCTTGTACTGCGTCAGTCTGTCGTCGGTCTGGGCACCCATCGGCTTGGCGAGGTTACGGAACGTCTTGGGGTTGTTTAGGTCCAGTTCCTGGTTTACATCCCCAACACAAACACCAGGGCCGTTACCAACACAGGAAAAAGTGTGCGAGCATTTTTTTTTCAATTGATTGAAAATAGAGCCAATGCCGTCGGAAGCAGCCGACCGTAGAAAAAGTGCTCGACCAAGCGTCTTATTCCGAGCATCTTTTATGCGGTCACTCCGGGCCTTATTTGACCTGGTAGACCACCGCGCCAACATGTCACTCTTGTGCTTTACCAATGCTTAAGTGCAATATGCACTTATATCCAATTTACAAAAAATATACAAATGTGTACTGGCTTTTGTAATACTTTAGTTTATACGGTAATTCACTTTAAAAAATAATGCAACATAATTTCTTACCATGGTTTACTTATTTGTTTGACTTATTTATTTATTATTCTTAACAACTCGTGCCTCACTTTTTATTTAATATTTAAGTGTACTGTTCCTTTTGCCTTTTATCTGTACCTCGCTGCTGCAACGCCGTAAAATAGCTGGGAAGATTCTGACTTCTGATTCTCATTCTGGGTTTTTGGCTGCGTATTTCAGATGGAAATGATCATAACAAGGATTGAAAAGCTCATTTGTTTGAGCCGATCGGCTGAAACCTGAATGCTTCTGCGGGTAAGTGCGTGACTTTTATCTCTGTACGTGGATTGTCCTCATTTCTGCCAGAAGAAGGCGCTCTGTGGACACACGCCCTAAAGGGGGATTCTTGCTGTTAACACGCTTCATTTCCACTTACCTCTGAGTCAAAGTCGGCCAGGATCCAGGGGAACACGGGGTACTGCATGAGGTCGTTGTAGGATCGTCCTGCCAACGTGTTCAGATGCATCAGGTACTGGAAGTTACTGATCTCTCCTCGCTGGAAAACAGACAGTAAGAAAACATTGCTTATAGTTTGACACTTCTATACTTTTAAAGGTGCTTAACTGAACAACATTGGTCTAGTTTCCCACCTCCCATCTCTGAGTCACTGACTTCTCTCCGACCAGCGTGCTGAGGAGCCCAGATCTGACAAGCACCAGGATAGACAGGATGTTTAGTTGAATACATCAGATCTTTACTTTATAAACAAACAACATTTAGTAACAAAGCAATTGTGATGTTTGTACGAATGTGTGGTGGAACCAAATTAGTCTTTATTCTATATTTGACCCTGTAGATGTAGGTCATTCATTTGATACATGACTACAGAAACCCATATCCATCATTTAAAACAAGTCATTTATCACAACAATGTGAAGTTAACTAATATGACTATGTATGATTTAGGTATCTGCCATAAATCATCTTCAAACACAGAGGCGGTGTTACCCTTGCTCCACGCTGGTGTTGGGCCTCTGTCCTGAAACCGACTCGGAGCTGTCAGCCAGTGAAGGCACCACCGCCAAGAACCTGCAGGTGGTGAAAAAAAATACATTACACAAGAACATACAGTTCCATCTGCATTAATTTACAAACCATTTCTGGATGACTGGCATTACAGTGATCTACTGGAAATAGAAGTGATGCTTTATAAGAGGCTTAGAACCTCCTCTGTGAGGATTGTATTCTAATACACAGCAGTAACCTGTGTAAAATCCCTCTTTTCTACCAATGAATCCAGCCTGAATCGTTGCTGAATGCTACACTGTATGCACCAATGACCTGAGTATATAGAAAACTGCAGTGTATCTTAGGCGATTAGAACTAATTCATCGCATCCATTTACGAGGGTTGAAAACGCACAAAACGCCTAACAGGTACAATGTGTTGTAAGGCTAGCAAATAGAAGCATGAGTGTTGCATAGTGATGTCATTATGTTACTGAAGTAAACAACGGATTCCTATGGAGGCATTTCAGGGAGGGGGGGGGGAACTCAAACAATTGTAGTCTTTGCAGACCATTTACATGCACCGAACACTATATAACACTACAGGAAAGGCAAAACCATATAAAAGCATAATATGGTGTCTTTAAAGTGTTTCATAATATTCTTTGCTTATGAAAAGGAGCAGCATTTACAGTTCGGCAACAGGCACTCCGAGCCTTAGGTGCGTATGTGTATTCAGTACCTTTGGTACACTTTGTTGCGGACTCCTTTCTGGAAGGCTAACAGGTAGTTCCTCCCATCTGCAGAGAAGACTTCCGCTGCCATGGGCTGAAAGGGGAAGACATATAGGTCATTTCAAATTGACAAAACAAGTGGCGAGTTAAACACTAGAAATAGGTAGTTAGTTAGTTAGTTAGTTAGTTAGTTAGTTAGAGGTAGTTATTGGGGCACCGACCTGCAGCAGGTAGCGTCTCTTGTGCACTTCCTTGATGTCCTCATAGGCGAATATGCTGCAGGTTCTTTTCAGCAGGCTCTGTCCTTGCCTCGCTCCTCTGGGGATGATGGCCTCGTGTAAACTGGACACAGACAGTGAAGCATTAAGAGTCGACTAAGTTACATTCAACCCATTCAGCACTATGTACTGTAATTTCACATAAACAATTACAGCAGCACCTACAGGACCGTTAATGACAAAAATGCAGGGGATACTCTTAAGGCTCTTAAATCAGTGTGGCAATTATGACTATAACTTATCATTTCATAAAAGTTCCATATAGTGTAATATGTGGTCATGCCAATAAAGCCCCTTTGTATTGTATAAACATTTTATCCAAATGTCTTTCATTAGCATACATTTTTTTCAAATTATTTTAGAAAATGTTGAATTGGCAACATATAAGAAGTTTTGTGTTTTTATTTGATACATTGCTAAATACTTTATTATGTAATTGTGATATTTACTTCCTATATCTTTATTCGACCTGCGAGCTAAGAATAATTCAATAAATGGAATGACTTTTTATAAATCAATACGGCAATAATAATAATAATTTGTTCAATTTATAATTTAATGTTTTTAGAAGTATTGTTAAAAAAGTGTTTTTAGATTAATAAATCGCAAAACTAATGACGATGAAAGTTTAATCTCCAAATCATATTCCCTTATTTGACAAATTATCATGAATATTTGGACAGAAATACAATGGAATACTATTACTGCTTTTTATTAATTAATGTGGCAATTAATACAATAATTAATTAAATTTATAATGTCATGTGTAAGCATTTCTAAAGAGTTTTAAAATCCTAGATAAAGTACCACATTCTGAAATGTCTTTAATCAAGTTCACATTTAAAATACACATGAGTTTTTTTTTTAAACACTAAAATATAAGAAGTTTTTTGTTTTTATTTGATACATTTGGAAACAATGGATTATAAACTGTCACATTAATATCGTGTTTTATTGATTTGACATATGAGCCAGTGTAAGAAAAAGTTTTGGAGAGTCGATCGGCATCGTATTTTACATTTTCCCACGGTTTTTACGACACGTGAGCAGTAAGATTGTACTGCATCACACATAGGGTTGGGTATCGTTTGGATTTTAACGATTCCGGTTATGCTTTTCGATTCCGGTTCTTGATTCTGGTTCTTTTGAGAGGGTAAAAATAAGTCCCATGACAGAAACTGGGAGAAAAATATATTTATGAAAACATTAAATCAAAATCTGTATTCCTATTTACAAATCAGTTCATACTGTTTAATTTTGTTACGGTTATTGAATACAATTATATAAAAATAATTGTTTAGTTAGTTCACATCAGTTTGAGAATGTACAATTGGCCCAGTCTCCTCTGATGTTACACTGCAACCTGCCTGTGAGACAGAGTCCAACCACACAGTCTGTGTCCAACACATCTCCTGCAATACACATGCTGCAGCTGCCCAGCTACTCACTGTTTGTAAAAGTAAATAAATAGTATTTTCTTTTCAATAATGTACTTTCTATACCCTGCTTCATAAACAATACTGACATCACTGTGCTCCTCCGAGTCTGTCTCACAGTCCGGGGATGTGAGGACAGTGCGAGGACACTTTGACTGCGATCAGCTGATACGGAGCATAGAGAGAGAGAGCTGCAGTCCGCGGGGCTCGGCCTCCGCCTCCTGTCCTCACAACTCGTTTTAATCCCGGTACCGGACAATTGTTATTTGTTCTTACTCGGAACCGAGTTTTGCTTCCCAACCCTGCCACTGTGCTACACGTCCCGCCCCGCCCCCGTCTAACAGTACAGAAAGTGGCGAGATGCATTTCCTTAGGAATCGACAAGCAAAACCGAAACTAACATTTCTAAACGAACAATGGCGGACACGGACAATTTGCGAATGAGTTCTGCCTTTTGTAACCTGAATTGAACAATCATTTGTCAATAAATAAGAGCGAAAAACGTCACTTGTCCATCGGACAAGTCAATTGAAAGATCTACTTGTCCGATATTGCAAATAACAAGTCGCGGACGGTGGGAAGTGTGCTTTCTCGCACACTGTGAGCTAATTGAGTGTGCCCTCGCACGTTTCTCTTGTATAGGACTGATGAGAGAGTATAACACCTGAGGGGGAACTCAATTAAATCAAAGCAGCATCTGTTTTCACGTTGTGTCTTTCACAACGCATGCTCTATCAGTAAAATGACATCATCCCGGCAAACTCCCACTGCAGCGCCCTGAGGAATGATGTCATGCTTTATTCAGGGCAGGAGAGTACAGTATCTGTGTGAGCCGCAGCTCCAGGGTGACTTCATGCAGCCCTGGTGTAAAGTTCTGATTCTGCTACTAAGGTAGACAGAAGCCTGGACCTACTTGGGGGGCAGCGTGTCGATGTCCCTGATCTCCCTGGACACCGTCATGGTGTAGCCGTCGATGACGTAGAAGTGCTCCTTCCCAAACAGCAGCAGACCCTCGCTGGTGTCCAAACCCTGCACCCTGGCACAGCGGTACATGTGCTGAATCTGGAACAGAGAACAAAGGAAACAAGTGCATTCATTACGTTTAGAGAAAGAAAGGTTTCTAAAACATTAGTCTATGGTCTAAATCCCTCAAGTAAAAAAGTCACTACTTGTGTGTAAAGTGGGAAGGCTCTAAAGTTTTTGTAAAAAAAGTATTTGCGGACATGGCTGCCAGCAATAGCCTGATGATAAAGAGAGAATTAGAGAATCGTGAAAAATCAGGGTACATTGTAAAGGGCGCGGCACATTTAGTAGTTTAATTGAATCACTTATTAGCAACCGCCTTTTTTATTATCCATAGAAACATTATTTATTCTTTGCTCCTTTTCAATTATCTAGATTGATTTATTGATTGACAGGGTATGCTAGTCTCACTCCTTGACCTTTTCGTTCTGGTATTTCAGAGAATACTACGACCCCAAAAGTGTAGCTCATGATGTCCTGAGTAACTGCTGGTGAAAAACTAAAAAGCACGTTTGTGAATAAGTCGATGTTAGAAACAAAAATGTAAATGTAAGTTAAGTGACATAGTAAGCCCTAACAGTAAAGATATGGCACACACTGTCAATTTACATGTATGATAGTATTATAATATATAGTATTATTTGAAGATCGCACAGTTATTAGTGCCAATAGACAACCTTTGACATTTTAACCATAGTCTTATGTCGCCTAAAATATATTTGTGCAGGTTTTTTTTTTTTACTTGAATAATTTGTGTTTAGTTCCCAAACTGCAGGAATATTTGGATTTGTTTGTACAGTCATGTCAATATGAAATATATACATACTCTAAGTAACTTTTTTCCAAGTTTTTGGAAAAACACACACCACCAGTCTATATTTAAAAACAGGCAGCTCTATGCTTTAAAAGGGACTAATAAAAGTGCAGAAATAACGCTACACTGATATAATGTTGCCAAGATAACCTAAATACATTTCTACACAAAATACGAAATCATTTAAAAAAAGGTTCTGTATTTAACACTGATGTGTGCCGAAGGATATGTTGTGATTTAAATGCCCAGTGTTTGTGTCCCTCTCTGACCTTCTCTCCCTCCTCCAGGAGGCGCAGCAGGGACGTGTTGTCGGTCCTCTGCTCTTCCTCGGGGCCCCCTGACTCCAGCAGCTGGTCCTGAAGCTGGTCCTGGCTGTCCTCGTCGGCTCCGTCCGCTGTGGACCGGGACCTCTTCAGAGGAGCCTTCACCAGGCCTGCAGGGAGGAGAAAACAGGGATTTCAGTGTGAGCACAAACCAAGAAGGAAAACAAACTAAAGTTGTGCTATCTAAAAACCAGCAGGCGATTACAACTATCACAATGTAACTGGCTAATGTGAATATACATTGAAATTCAATCAATCAAATTACAGAAATGTGATTGTTCTCATGAGAAGGCCGAGTCATATTGTCATCTAGTGGCGATGTCAGTAGTCAGTGGATATAAAATACTACAATACTCACGGCGCCCACTTCATTAGAGACACGGATATAGATGAGAGCAACCCATCTGATCACTTTCCTCTACATCATGTCCACTTTTAACATTTCAACTGTGTACTTTGAAGATTGACGTTAACCTCATTAGCGTCATCGTTTTAGTTGTGAAAAAAAAGAAATACAAAAATCAGGTCACAGGCCAGCATTCCCTGGGGTCGTCTCTGTACCTTTGACTCTTGCGATGGTGTCCTCTCCGTGCTCAGGCTCATGCTGGGTGGTCTCTCCTTCTGTGGTGTGCTCGACAGAGTGCTGGTACATGCCGGGGTTTCCAGACAGCAAACGCACGTAGTACTCCTTACTGTCGTAGCTGATGGCCCGCCGGTAACGGAGAGGCTTCTGGAGGAGGGACAAAACAGAAAGGATGTGAGTTGGTAACATTAACACTTATGCTTAATGAGCATAATGAGTCAGTCATGTCTCAATATGTTGTGTGTATACGAGTAGATTTTGTTGTACATTTCGGGGATTTAAAAAGTTCTCTAATACAGTTCATACAGTATGGTGGCCCACAGGGGCCAACGTGTTACAACAAAAACAATGCAAATGCTCCAAAACACATGCAAATAAAGAAGCATCTTTACCAACTTGACGAAACATGGCAGAATTGACTAAAAGCGCTGCATAAACAAAACGTAGCAAATACAAAACATTGCAAATAAAAAACACTGCAAGGAGCTCAAAACACTTAGACCGGGGACAGGAGCGCTTGTTGACGTTTGGCGGTTATAACGTTTTGTAAAAGCTGCGCATGTGTTGGCAAGTTTGTAAAGATGTTTCTTCATGTGCATTTGTTTTGGCACATTTGTGTTATATATTTACATCATTTTGTGTTTTAAGCCGTTGTAGTGCATTTTTTAGGGTCGGCCACCATAAGTTCCACTTGTTTGTGGACTCCAACACTATGACATTCGGCTTGGGATAAGTTGAGATAGTTTTAAGATGATAATAATATTAAAAGACGGTTTGCCTTTGAACCATACAAAAAAAGAGCCGTTACGTTACGTCCGCGGAGCCGTTACATTAAGTCGTCCTCACACACACACACACACTTTTCTCAGCTGCAGCTCCACCGATTTCTCCTCCCTGAGACGGTGGGACGCGGCGAGGCTGTGAGGCGGTGAGCCCAGCCAGGCTGCGGGTGTGTGTGTGTGTTCGGGCTGGGTTTCGCTGTGTCTTGCTGTCTCGCAGACGGCGACTGGGCTCACAGGGAGGGGGGGGGCAGGAGCTCCAACAAGCCGTTTAGGACAGAGAGTGAATACACATACTTTACAGAGATGCTGTATGAGAAACCAATGTGATTTTGGAAAATTGCACAATGTAAATCTATTCTAGTATACCTCAACAATGGAATTATGATCAGTAGAAATGGCATGACATGGGACCTTTAACATCTGAACCAGGTCCTTCAAAGTGACCTGATCATACCCACTTCCAACTGAGGGACATTATCTTGATTTAGAAGAAAAATATGGGATGATGAATATTTTGTTTTCATGCATAGGTCACACATAGTTAGATTAATCACAATGTTGTTCGTTCTCAAATTGTGATGTTCACTGGCTTGAGTTTCAAACGTATGGCAATCAAACAGCTGTGATGCAGAGACTGTCCATTGTTACCATTCAATTGGTACAAACATTAAAACGAACTCTCTTTTGTACAATAGCCAGGAGGCCTTTTTGGATACCACCCAACAAAGTCACAGCAAAATAGTCCTGGGTCAGCTGAACATATGCATGTTCACGTGCAAATGTACGGAGATACAAGCAAATATATTTACACACGGAGAAATGTCCTGTCAACTCCACCACAAGTCGGAATTGTTACTGTGTTGTTGCTGTAAAAATATTTATTCTGATTTGCACGTTTCTCTCTACCATGCGGTCACACCAGGCATCAACGGCAATTATTTTATCCCATGGGAGGTACCTGGGCAAGGACCCCAGCCAGGGCTGAGGGAACCAGGGGCACCAGAGGGGGAGGAGAGGGCTGGAGAACATGAAAAGAGGGAGGATGAGGATGTTATGACGTCAGTTTCTCCAGAAGGGTTCTGAAGATGACCATGAACTCATGGCTGCTTCATTTAAATCTACAGAGAAGTTATTTCAAAGGGTTTAATGTTATGTCCCTTTACAAATGTTTTATTCATAAGCCATTATCAGAAAATAAATACCTTAAAAAACAACCGTGTTTGATTCACTTTGCTCTCAAACGGCAGCTAACTATACTCATGTTACAGGATCATTGAAGTGCTTCTGAGCTTCAGCTTCTAAACGTTGTCTTTACACACCGTTCATTTCTCGTAAGAGCCCGATTGGTGCTGCAGCTGCACATAGTGGCAGAGTGGCTCCATCCTTAGCTACTCCTGTCATCAACCCAAGGGGACAAATATCTGTTTATTCTTTATAAGAAAATGAATTCAGGGATATAGTGCTATTTATTACTGGAACGCACGCATGACCCCCGTGCCCGTGGTTGTGATGCTTAAGTCAGTATATGTGTTTGCACTGATCCATCCACATTATTGAATGAAAATCTTCTTCTGCTCATTAAAACCTGCAGCGTCAGAAAGCAAGATGACTACCAGGCAGCAGAGACTGTGTCATGCCAGCACACTGTGCCATTCCTCACGGCCAATCAAATATTCAGAAATGAGACCATGGCAACGTACTAATCCAGATTTAAAGCTGAATACCTGTGCTGAGTTGCTGTTTGGCTCCAGCTCAGGGATGAATGGGTAGTGGATATAGAACAGGTCGTTGCGGACCATCTTCTTCCTCATCCGGCAGGGCCCCTCCGTCATCTCCAGCACAAACTTGTCCAGGCTGGAGCCGATGGGCGGGCCCCAGAGGCCCCTCTCACGCAGCAGCTCGTATTCGATGGACGCCCATTCCTCTGTCACGTACTTCAGAGCGTTCTGCTGCCGCTGGGAGATGGAGGGAACGATGAGTCACTTTAAAACGATAAATTATACATGCTGCTACACTAGCCTGTGAAAATGTGCCTGCACGGTTACAGGCTGTCAGTTGGTGCTGTAATGAATCATCTGCAATAAACCAGCTTAAAGTCTTTGTGAACACACTGTTTCTGAACAAAAAATAAATACAACTTGAGTGTTGAGTGCGGTACCTCTTGATATTCTTTGTACTGCATGGCCACCAGGTCTCGAACAACAGCAATGTGTGTGAACATCCACTGGAACGTCTCCTGTTAAACACAAATATATGCCGTTTATATAAGAAATGGCAGTACTTGATATTTTATCGAAATAACCAAATACTCCCCCATGAATGAATCATGAAGCAGAGGAATATTGTTTATATCATTTTGGGATTTTCTGTTATGCACTCTTTCTAAATGTTATTTATTTTCATTTGGAATGGATTAGTACTAAAAAGAAAAAAAATCTAAATGCAAGGAAGATCACTGTCTTAATTGTTACATTGTACTTGACCTTCAATTAAAAAAACGAATCCCTAAAAATGATAACTACCTCCTATAATGTAATTGCAATATCAGTCAAAAAATAATTGTAGTTTTGTTTTTCCCAGATAGTGCAGCCTTAATGAGTACATTTGCTGTGTCAGCTGTTTGTGTGTGTACCTGTGCAGACAGGCTGTTTTTGTTCAGGCTGTTCTCCCTCTTGTTGCGCCGGACGCCTGTCAGCTTGGAGAGGCCGAAGTTGCTGCTGACCCGGGACAGTTTGGACTGGGTCACTGGCGCCGCTGCCTCCCCGCGACTGATGCACTTCTTCTCATGGACTGAGAGACACACAAAAACAAAGCGTCTACATGAGCGTTTTCCCACTAAGCCATTTGAACAAGATGAGTTCAAGGTAAGATGCTGACAAAATACATTTATATTATTTGGAATGTTTTATCTTAACATTACAACTGTGGTAAAACTGCCAAATGAAGCAAATGTTATTTTGAAACCTGGGTAAAAAGATGACTGAAACAATAGATCTCATAGATTTGAGTCTTTAGCAGAAAACAGTCAAAATGAGTTAGATCTACTGTACCAAAACAAAATTGTAAAAATAAAATCTTCTCTCATGACTAATGGCTGCATTAAAACACAAAAAAAGAGCTGCAAGATTTTCTTTAGGATTTTAAAGGAAAAGTGTTAACCATTAGCTATGTAACCCTTAAATGGACAATCACGTACTGTATAGATATTATGTGCAATCAATAGGTTGCTATTTGCTACATTACATCCATATTTTACTGTTATTATAATGCGTATTACACATTAATACACCCCTTTTAAAACCCTATGGCACCTGTATTAAACCTGTATTACACCCATAATATACCCATGTTATTACATGCATATTACACCCATCTAACACCAGTATTACACTGTTATCGCAGCCATTTTACACATGGAAGCAGCCAGTAAAATGACTGTATCCCAATGGACACGGAAACCATTTAAGGGTTAAATATTCAGTTATGTGTTGCTAGTTGCATTTTACACAGACAATTTGAAGGCACCCATACCAGTCTCTTAAAAATAAAATAATTTGTGACGGTGGCTAAATGTTTGTCTCAAATATGAATGTCGTTTGAATAAACTGTTTTTTCCCCTTTCTTTGGCTGCTGTCACTTTCATATTTACTGTTTTTTATTAATATACAGCTTGTTTCCAAGACGGATTTCTCGTATACATTTTCTTAATTACTTAATATTGTGCATATTCTTTATGAGTCTTTTAAGTTTTCTTACCATTTTTTTCTTATTGTCCATTTTGAAGATCTAGCTAACACTGAACATTATTCTGTCAAGTAACATTAAAGGTGGGGTAGGTAATTTTGGAGAAACCAGCTAGAATTTGAAAATAAAAAGCCGGAACAAATCTGCCACTTCCTTACAGAGCCCCTCCTCCAACACACACGAACGCGCACATGACCAATGAGGGCACGAGATAAGTTTGTGCACAGATGGAAGGCTGACAGGCAGGTAGGCCATCCAGTTATTTTAGCCAGGCCGGCTAAAAAATGATTGGTCGTGTTTTTCTTACAGTACCACGGCTTCCACAGATGACTTTAATGAATTTTTTGTCAAAGCACTTAAGATATTCATTGCTAATCGGGATGTTAAGAGCATTCCATGGAATATAACAAAAAGTGTATCTCGAGCCGGTTTCTCAAACTTACCTACCCCACCTTTAAGTGTGTAAGAAATAAAACTCACAGACATGGATCAGAGATACTGAGCTAGTGCACAGCCAGTTAGTGTGTTTTGTATCTTGATGTGTGTGTGTGCCTCACCCAGGTGGTTCTGCCAGCTCTTCAGGGCCGGCTCCTCCAGGGCGGGCCTGGCCGTGGCGATGTCCACGTGTCCTCTGTCGTTGCAGGGAAGAGACACTTTGAATATGTCCTCAAGCATCTGCCTCTTGCTGTGCATCAGCTCCGTCCACACCCTGTTCACCGCCTTCAGCAGCAGCTGCCGCCCTGTGGAGGGAGCACAACATTTACTATTATTCCTACAATACTTGGATTTGGAATTTTTTGCAACACAAAAAAGCACAGATATGTTATACACGTATCATGACACCCTTACTAATATATATTGCTTTGAATAAGGTTTTAAAATCCCGAAAACTATAAAAATGTGCTGAATTTGAGTCCGAATTTGTCTCACTCATTAATTGGAATTAAGCCTGTCCGACATGAGAAGCTGGAAATAATCCTTAAGTAACATTTGAGAAAATAAATTATACAGATAGACCTAAGACTAACAAATCTAAGAGAACATGTTTCTAAAAAGAATTGTACACAATAAGACTTTGGAATATGTGTTTGAAAAACACATTTCAATTTTTAACAAATGTATAAAGTTTGGCTTTCTCACCAGGGGATAATCATTTAGATGGTTGGTTGACAATAGGGGTGCACAATTGACCCTTACATGGTTTCTGTACCCTGTAGGATACAGTCATTTGACAGGCCATGGCCATGTGTAAAATGGGTGTAATAACAGTGTAGTTGCAGAGTAATATTGGTTTTACATGGGTGTAATATGGGTCTAATAACAGTATCATACAAATAACAGTGTAACATGGGTGTAATACGGGTGTATCAATGGTGTCATATGGGTGTAACTTGGGTGTAAAAAAGGTGTAAAAGGGGTGTATCAATGTGAAATATTGGTGTAATAACAGCGTAATATGGGTGTAATGTAGAAAACAGATATTTAAATCTGAATGCACATCTGGGTTAATCATATCCAATTGTAGTTAGCAAAATATTTGGTAAAGGCAAAATATTAATGAGAAATGTTGATCGCCATATCACACACACACACACACACACACACACACACACACACACACACACACACACACACACACACACACACACACACACACAGTGTCTCACCCTCGCTGACGTCCTGGCTGTGCGTAGTGTCCGTCTCGTTCTCCGTGGGCATCATGACGTGCCAGGTTGTCATCCTGGCCTCCGCTTCCAGACCGAAGCCCTCCACGCTGCTGCAGAGACAAACAGACTTGCTGCTAAACTGCCACATATAGAGAAGTAGGTGGAGGGGGGGGGTGGGATTGCTTGGCTTCTCTGCAGACTGCTGTCTGTAGTCGTACAGTGTCAGCGTATGTGTTACAGCATATTGTGTCCCCAGCAGGCTAGGAAAATCTAATTCTACCCACCTGCTGCACTTTTGGAAAGGACAAACTCTACTAAAATAAACACTGACACAATCACCGTCTGAGTCACAGAAAACAAGTGTGAGAGTCGGTGGTAAACTGATGGTATAATACTAGTCACAGCCAGATCTGTTCAGAAATAATCCCTAGGAGTAGAACAGATGGAGCTGAGGAACCAAATGTAAACAAATATTATTAAAATGGCTCTGTTGAGATGAATCAACTGCTTGGAGATGTCCAGCCCCTTAAAATATCATGTACAATATGCTGCCAGCCAATAGAAGTGTGTGTGATACATAGTGATGTTATTATGTTACAGAAGTAAACAAAGGAGTCCAATGGAGGAGTTTCGGGGGGGGGCTATACTTTGCAATGTAGCCTTTGCAGACCATTTACATGCACATTCTCTTCACCCACAGCACTGCTACCTGACACCTTCAGAAGTACTCTTGACGACTCGGCCATCGTCTGCCTCATCTCTAATGAGGACTACAGGGAGTACAGGGAACTAATGCCAGAGGAACCACCTCCAGCTCAACGCAGGGAAGACCAAGGAGCTGGTGGTGGACTTAAGACGGCACCAACAGTCTCCCAGTGAAAATCCAGGGAGCAGACATCGAGATTGTGAAATCCTACAAATACCTTTGTGTTCATCTGAACAATAAACTGGACTGTTCGGATAACTGCACTGCTCCCTTTCTCTCTACAAGGAACAGACTGTATCTCCTGAGGAGACTGAGGTCTTTTGGGGTGCAGGGGGGCCTCCTGCAGACCTTCTATGACTCTGTTGTGGCATCAGCCATCTTTTAAGGCGTGGCCTGCTGGGGCTGCTGCATCTCGGCTGCTGACGGGAAGAGACTGCACAGACTGTTAAGGAAGGCCAGCTCTGTCCTGGGGAGTCCTCTGGACACTGTGGAGGAGGTGGGAGACAGGAGTCCTCTGGACACTGTGGAGGAGGTGGGAGACAGGAGTCCTTTGGACACTGTGGAGGTGGTGGGAGACAGGAGAATGGCAGAAAAGCTGTCCTCCCCTCTAGACAATGTGTCCCTCCCCCTCCAGGACACCCTGTCCGCACATTGCAGCTCCTTCAGGTTGCTGCACCCGTGTTGTCTCAGGGAGAGATACCGCAGGTCTGTACAACCACCATGTCCCCTGGTAACCCCCACACGTCACAATAGAAACTATGACACCCCTGCTGTGAAATTACATCAATATTTAATGATGTAAAAACACAAACAAATACAGACTACGACACCACTGTTGTGCAATAACACTTGAGTGAAATATGTAAATTGGAAATGTAGTACGAATGTTAATTTATTTTTAATAAACATTATTTGCATGCCCTTTCTAATAGTGTTTTATCTCTTTGTCTCTATCTTCACTTTTGCTGTAACAATGTAAAAAGGTATGCTGGTCTTCTCAAAAACCTATAACACACTACTGGAAAGGGAAAACCCCAAAAGATAGGACCTCTTTAACTATCATAACAAAGACCTAAAGCCCATTTGTTTGAGAAGATCCGACGAGCAGACGGTACATTTTGCTGCCGGTTAGTGTGGTCAGACTGAGCGGTGAAGTTCATCCTTACACAGTTTATGAGCCCGAATATTCCAGATGGTGCCAGAAAACACTATCACACAAGTACAGAGAAAGACTCTTTTAGCCCCGGGGCCTTACCTTCCACTGTGCAGGCAGATGAAGCAGTGAGCCAGGCAGGCCACAAAGTCCTGGTCGTGGTTGCCCGGCCCCAGCACCAGGTTGCGGTTGACGGTCAGGACCCTCAGGGCATCCAGCAGGGCCACCTGCTGAGCCACCGTCTTGTGGGGTCGACAAAGCTGGTACAGCACCGTCCGGTTCAGACAGTGGTAGATGGTGTCCAGGGACAGACCCTGGGAACGCCGCTTGGACTGTAGGAGGAAGAAAACAAACAGGTGGAGGAGGTCAGAGCCATAATGTAAAAATAAGAGATGTTTAGTTGTGCGGCTGGTACGCTGCTGTGCTCTGCATGTGGATAAAGCTGCTGTGGAAATCTTTCAGCATGGGAAAGAAGATTTGTTTGAGCAACCAGGGCTGAACTGGGTTAAGTCCTCAGAGGGTTGTGAATGTAGCTTTGTTGTGTTGTTGTTTCTGTGTCTGAGTAGAGAACTGCTTAAAGACTTAATGTGGATACATATTTGTAAAACAGGCTTCCTTCCATCAAGATTTGATGTTTAGGAAACTAAAAAGTCACAGTGTTTAGTCTTGTGAGAAGTTGGAAGTTGCACAGGGTAGTGCAGCTACGTGAGTTTTTATTGATATTATATCTACTGAGTCGTTTAGATGCAATAGATGCAAAGGCACTATCAAAATAAGTCATTTTAAAACCTTACTTAGTTCATAAATTGGTTGCCACATTCAGCAAGCACCCGTTGTATTGGGTGTACTTACGTGTGTCATGTGTCCACTGATTTAAAGGAAATGTAAATACATTGTAATTCCTTCTGCATGACTCAGCATGAAGTGCTTCTTAATCCCTAATCACTCCAGGACGTTTCCAAGCCACAAGGACGCATTATGGTTGGACACATTGATTTCAGAGCATAATCTCCTAATCTTCTCACTTGCACAGTAGTCTGTTCAGAAGCATGACAAGGAGGATCCAAATCCAAACACATGACTCTAATGCTCTTCTTTTAACTTAACCTTGGAGTTCAAGGGACATTTTTAAAGATGTTTGAAGTGGAGTTTTATCTATAGTCAGTGTAATCTCTACAATAAAGTGGACATATTATGCTCTTTTTCAGGTTGTTTGTATTTAGTGTCTCTACTGTGACATGTCTCCATGCTTTAATGTTCAAAAAGCTCTTTTCCCTCATACTGCCTGTGCTGCAGCACCTCTTTTCACCCTCTGTCTGAAACCAGGGCCCGCTCTGTTGTGATTGGTCAACCATGAAGAGAGGTCCCGCCCCATAGCCCATCTTGTAAAATGTGTTGGAGCGCTAGCTAATATAAGCGCAGTTGTAACATAGTGATGTCACTTTGTTACGGGGGGAACTGAGGGCGGTAGAGAAACTGAGGGCTGCAGTCAGATGGCTGCTGCTTATCTCATTTATGCTGAGTGTGTGCACTGGTTACATTAAGTGGACACTCACAGTAACATTCACAGACAGACTGTTTCATTTCCCTGAGAGACTGCCTGTGTGTCGGAGTGATACGTGTGGTTGTTATGATTTGACTCTGGTACACAGCCAAACTTCAACTATGGGAAATGTAGTCTGGCCTCCTCATGCCTGCAGCAACACTGCAGGCACAGGAGGGGAAACTGTCATAGAGAGACATCAATACAATATACCCTTGCTAGGTTTACAGACATCAAATAAATTCACATCCGTTTAATTTTATTGACTAACTTTATACTCTTCTGACCTTAAATATATTCTTATGACCGTAAGTCCAAAAATATCCTTGATTTATACTGTATGACATATTTGTTTTGTAAGTAATGTTGTTTTTAACCTGAATGTTTCGTATATTTTCCTTTGGTCAACAACAAAAATAACCTCATTGCTGCAAATACACACACATTCTGGATCTTGAAGATTTGTTGGTTTGTACCTGTCCTATGAGTTGCACGATGAAGTCCACCACCAGCTTGGAGTCCTTGTTGAACATGCCCTGCCACAGCTTGTCCACCACGCGTTGGGTGAAGTAGAACACATTGTTGACCAGAATCTGATAGCTGCCCCCGCTGCTGAGGGGCAGAGAGGCATCTTCACCTGAGAGGAGGAGCAGCAAGAGAGGCGATCAGCAGCCATTTTCTGTGACTCCTGTGCAACTATTCTAAGAATTCTTCATCTTACAGTAGAATCACATTACTGAAGAAATGAAAAGGGTTTAAAGGGGCCCTATTCTGCTCGTTTGCAGGATCATATTTGGATGTTGTGGCTCTACTGTGACATGTTATCATCTTTTTAAAGGTCCCCTATTATACTGTTTTTCATCAATATATTATAGGTCTCAGACATATTCAAAACATGTCTCTGAAGTGTTTGGCTCGAAATACCAAACAGATCATTGCAGCATCCCATAATCCCCTCGGTTTCAGCCCTGTTTCCAAAGTGCTGATTCTCTGTGTGTTACTTTAGATCAGGGGTGCCCAACCAGTCGATCGCGATCGACTGGTCGATCGCGGGGAGATTCCCAGTCGATCACGAGATGTGTCTAAAAATAGAACAACAATATTCTGTTTTATTGTTAATGTCCTGTAACATAATCTTCCTGTGCCAGAATAACACACTTGAACGCATCAAAGCTTTGTGANAACCAAATATCTCTCAGAGGGGCGTGGGGAGGGGCTCCTTATTTTCATCTAAAGCAGGGGTGCCCAACCAGTCAACCAGGAATCTCCCAGTCGATCGCGAGATGTGTCTAAAAATAGAACAACAATATTCTGTTTTATTGTTAATGTCCTGTAACATAATCTTCCTGTGCCAGAATAACACACTTGAACGCATCAAAGCTTTGTGATTGGCCGGCGTGACCGCATGTGTCGGGGCGGGGCTGGTGGGCAGTCCAAACTAGTTCGCTGACGTTGTCCGTGTCAACAGGAGTGACAGTCCGCACACACAAGACCGCAAGTATGGCAGAAGCAAAAAAGCCCAAAATATATAATTTTCACTCCGAGTGGGAGGATGATTATTTTTGTATCTATTCCAATTCAAAGTCCATCTGTCTCATCTGCAATGCGAGCGTGGCTTTATCGAAGAAGGGTAATTTAGGAGCGGCATTTCAAAACAGTGCACACACGCTACGAGACGGAATTCCTTCCTAATTCTGCCCTAGGCTCCCAAAAGGGGAGGGGCCTGAAAGGACAGCTAAATGCACAGCAGTCCATTTTCACCAGGCCCAACAACAAGAGCAAGGCTGCTACCATAGCATCTTATCGTGTCAGTCACGTTCTTGCGAAACACATGAAGTCTTTCAAAGACGGCGAAGTTGTGAAAGAAGCATTCCTGGAGGCTGCCAACGCGCTTTTGGGGGACAGTAAAAATAACAGTAGCATTTCAACAGGTTTTTGATATAATAAAAACTCAAGTTAGATACCGTTATTAATCAGCTGTAAGTTTTAGTTTGTTTGAACTTATTCATTATAATTATTGTACAAAATGGTATAAGAATGCAAACATTAAGATCTGTTCTGTTTAAATTGATTATAGTCTATTATCAATTCAGGTTAAGAAACTAGTGTTGCTTGCATCCTATTTTAAAGGAATTTCTTTTTATACTCTACTAAAATGCAACAGAAAAAGTGTTTGATTCTATTAATTTTGTCTTTTTTATTGCACTTTGGCAGCAGATTCCTGTTCAGCTTCAGATCTGAGTTGTCTTATTAGTAAGCCTAATTTATACTTTTGTAGCAACACTATTTTTAAATAATGGCAAAGATAGGGTTCAATGTATTTTCTTTTTTCCCTGTGTCATGTGTGGCAGCACTGTTCAATGTTTCTTGAAAACATTACCCACTGTAGTATGTGACGTGTGAATAACCTCCAACTATGTATCAACAACACTGTTGTGTAACTTCAGTTAAATACTTGTATGTGTGTAGATTAGAAAGAGGTAAGATAAAGGATCTTCAGTATTTTATGAAGTATTCATCGTACAAAGGTCAGTTTTATACAAGTAGAAGTGTATATTTACCCGGTAATAGGCTGTCAGTAAATGCTACAACTCTCTATTTGGACTGGTAGATCTCGGCAGACTGGCAACTTTAAAAGTAGCTCTCGGTTCAAAAAAGGTTGGACACCCCTGCTTTAGATGAAAATAAGGAGCCATTCCCCACGCCCCTCTGAGAGATATTTGGTTAAAAACAACACAATGGTGTGCTGCAGGACCTCTTTTCACCCTCTGTCTGAAACCAGAGCCAATGAGGTCAGAGGTGATGCATATTAAAGGATACAAATAAAATATATATAAATGTTTTGTATAGCCTATAATGTTGGTGTATTGTACTTTGCTGTAATAGACTGCAGACTATATATAACTCAAGAAGCCGTAGAGAAAACTGAAGATGCTTGCAGCTCTCCGGGTTTAAGACTGTGATTTGCTGACTCGTGTTGCGGCCATCGGAGAAATGTGTCCAAGCTGTCCTGCAGCATGCTCATTGCAGCCATTTCTGCCAAATCATCATAATGTATGTAATACCCATGCTGGAAAAAAAAGTTGTCTTCTCATTCAAACCTTGGTAATTGAGTATTATATTTGTCACTGTGGTGGACTATTTGTTCACGTTTATAAAGCCTGCATGAAACAACATAGGAACGGACAGTGTGAAGTATCTAGACTTGCATAATGAGTATTTTTACTTTCGTTACTTTAGTTTAAGTATATAATATTTTGATGCTAAGACTTTTGGACTTTTACTTGTAACAGAGTATCCCTACTCTCTTGTATTTTTACTTTTACTTAAGTACAAGAAGGAAGAGTGGTGAGGAAAAGTAAAAGGGCCCGATTTTTTGTAGTCTTACCTAGCAGCACATCAGCAGCCAGAAGATGCTCCATGACGCCGTCCAGGATGTTGGACTGAAACTCTTTCTGCTGGGTTCTGGTGGAGCGCTCAGGGGAGGCCTGGCAGCACAAAACACACATTTGCAACCATTAATAAACTAAGAATTATGATGGGAAGGAATCATTTGTTGGATTTAAGTTATGGACGGTGCGTCCTCACCTCAAGCAGCAGGTCGATGATGGGCGTCTGCTTGCTGGCCGGGGTCATGCAGAGGTTGTCCATGATCAGGACCCTCATGAAGTCGAAGACGTACTTTTTGGCAGGGTGGTTGGTTAGAGACGTCTTGGAGCCCACGTTACAGTATTCAGACTGGCTGCGGTTCATACCGGAGTCCCCGGCAAAGGCCTTGAACTCCTCTGCGGGAGACCCTGCCTCGTCGTCCAGATCAGTGACCTGGAACAGAAGGCGGGTGAAGAGAACTTATCAAGATTTTATTTTAAAAACAGGATCATGCAGGATACACATGACATGACACTTTATTACAGGGAAGCATTTACATTTGAGACACTGACACTCTACAGCTTGTTAAAGATTGGGGTGATTTTTAACATTTATTTATAACTTGCTATCCTGCTAAACAGAACTGATCATAAACGTGTGTGTACGTTTTATTTTCTGGCATATTCGAAATTCCAATGGAAAACTCCCATTGTTTTTTGTATTGAATTTTTTTAAAAGGGAGACTTGTGAGGCTTACTTCCACCACTCTATGGCTTCCGAAAACAATTGTAGAGCCTTACCATCTCGGAGTAGGGTCTGATGTTGAAAGGGAAGACAGTCGCTGCCAGGGCACAGAGGAACTCAGCACTGTGCCACATAGACGCCAGGTCGGTCAAGTTGTGGTAAAGATATCTAAAGAACTGCATGAGGGTGACCGGGTAATCACGCAGCCAGGAGCCTTCCTCCTCTGACTGCCATGGCTGGAAAGAGACGCAAAGGAAAACAAACTGTTTATTCAAGCTTCATATCTAGAAGCAATGAAAGTGCTGGTTTTTCAATCTTAGACTGGTTTGGAGGATTTAAGTGAACTTGTTCAGTAGCAGCCTGTGCCGCGAGGGAGCGCTAGGCTCTAATTTCCCAGGAGGTCGAGTGTAGCTTCTCAGCAGAGAGCACTGTGAGAGCCACTGAAAACTCCCAGGTGTGTTTGAATGAGGATGAAAATAGCATGTGTGTCGAGTCATTTTCGCTGGATTAATGGAGCCTAAAATCATGCTTTTAAAGAATCCAGGCAGGAACTGTTGGGAAATCACCACTTAAAAATGACTAATAGACTGACATGTTATCTGTTTGTGTTGGATTTAATTGCTAAAAAGATGTGTAAATATGTCTCTTAAATATGTAATTGGAACAATAATCCTGAAAAATAGACCAACTTTCTAGGAAAACACAATATATGTGAACATAGGACAGTATTTACATACATTATGCAAGTGTGTAATGTGTTGTTTTTGTTTGCAATGTATATGTTATTAGGATGATTATGTTATTTTTGAAAATGGCAATAACATGGATATTAAAATTGTGGGGGAAACTTCTGAAGCAATTGGAGTCAGGACTCAGAGAGACACGAGGAGAGCTGGAGCTTTGATGGCAAACACTGACGGTTTATTTGGAGCTTCGGCCGGAGAATTCACAAGACATGTCACGGGCCACGGTTTGACCACACGGTAGAGATGCCACAATCAATTCTGAAGAACTCTTCTGTAGTTCGAGGTTTTAACTAGTTCGGAGTGTAATAATCAACATTCTTTCTCAGCGAGACTAAACAAATATGGACCCTGAATCTAACTAGAGCTGTCGCCCATAGAAAGGAATGTGCGCCAGGGAACCTACGTTCCTAAAAAGAAGGGCTTCTAGATGTCCCTGAACAATAAACTATCTCATGTCAACTTGTGCTCGGTCATAAGCTGGCAACAACAATGCGCCCAAGCTGCCCCTCCTTAAGAGAGATAGCAGCTATACCCAAGGCCGTAGACCTATGCCATGAGAAAGGAGACAGTGAAAAGAGGAAATGATGAACTGTGTCAAAGGTTGAATACCTAAGCAAATTATTCCACAACAAAAATGACTTACAGTATGACACTCCAATGATCTTAGTGTAAGTGAGTGTAGTGTAGGCTGGAGGGTGTTCCTCACCAGGTTGAGCATGCTGCGCAGCATGGCCAGCAGCAAGAAGGCAGCCTCGGTGTACACGTTGTGGATGGAGCCTACCACTGTCCCACTAGAGGCTGGTATGCCAAAAATGAACGTCCAGAGGGAGTCCAGGTCAAACTGACAGGAAATACAGAAACACACATCCTCACCAACAGATTGAAAATACAAGTACAATCATAAGACATCATTGAGATATGTGAAATGGGACACCACGATAAATTGCACTGAAAAAACTGAAACGTGGCCATTAATCAAATGCATTATTTCAACTGATTTCAAATAACCATATGAGGTTAGTTGAAAGCAATAATATTAAGTGGAAATAAAACAACATTTTATAGTGTTTCAATAAATCATTAAGTTCAACGTAATATTATTGCTTTCAACTAACTTAATTAACCGACATTTGTTGACAGAATACATTTAACTAAAGTCAACGTTACAGTTTTTTCAGTGTATGTGAAGCTTTGGAATGTAGGCCCAGACACTAAACAGAGAGTATTTAGAGTATATGTAAGGGATAATGTGCAATGAGGAAAGTAAAGAATATTAGTTAGGGGACAATGCATTCATTTGTTGAGTACAATTCTGTATAATTAGAAAAATAAAAAGGTTGGGCATACTGACATGTACCTGCAGGCTGTCCGGCAGCTCGGTGACGGGCTGCTGCAGGAACAACGCCATGAGCAGGAAGTAGAGCTCCGGCACGTTGGTGTGTTTGGGCAGCAGCGTCTGCAGCACGGGCAGGCCGGGGAAGTGGCACGCGTCCCGGTTGATCTCCCGCACCGTGGAGCGCCCGCCAGCACTCCGGCCCACGTTGAAGCCTGAAAAGTGGGAGAGGACGAAGAGTGAAGAGGGTACAAGTTAAGCATATTGAACATGTCGGTAGGTGACATACGCCTTCTGTCTAAGGGATCTCTGCTGCTCTGAATACAGCTGTTGGGGGCAGGTTTATCAAGGAAGGGGGGTCACAGTAATAACCCAGGATCCGCTGTCTAAGGTGGCCAACCCGTGCAAATCGGCAGAAAAAACTTCCATTGGTAGAAACGCGCTGCACTTTCAAAAACGATGTAAATAAAAAAACACAAATTTACCAAAAAACATGCAAATGAACAAACGCTGCAAGAAGCTCACACAATGGAAACAGGGACACTAAAAAGAGATGCACACAGCTGGGACCAGAGCACCTGTTGACGTTCTGGGATTATAAAGTTGCCAACCGTCATTGTCACTGGAAACGTACCGAAAATGTAAATGTTACCATCATATTTGAACAATGTGATCACATGATTCCTTCCGATATTATTGAAGATCTGCTATAAGCATAGCATCACTTTTAAGTGTCCCCGTTTCGTGTTTTGAGCTTTTTGTTTATGCAGCGCTTTTAGTAGCGCATGTTTTGTCGAGTTGGTGAAGATGTTCCCTCTTTTTCATGTGTTTCGGCACATTTGTGTTTTTTATTTGCATCGTTTTAAAACTGCAGTGCGATTCTCCAAATTCAAGTGTTTTTGGCCGTTGTGGCGCGGTTGCCCTTGACGACCACCATACCTGTATCTAACTCATCAGGCAGGAGCTAAACCTGAGTAACAGCTAAATAACTCAAAAGATAAGGACTTGGTTGAGCTGGACTACGGATCAAATCTACAGTAAGGGCTTCAACCTGACAGCACGCATTCTGATCCTACAGCAGTGGTGATTCTGTAAGGCCATGGCACTAATTAGCAAGGTTTTTACAAGCCAAATCAATGCTTCTCAACCTGATGCCGCTAAGATGATGATTAGTCAAAGTGGAATGCACATTTGTGAGTGCATTTTTGTCTTAAATAGTAAAGAATTTAAGGATAACAGTGCCTTAAGTCAAGTTAAGTTAAAAGTGACCAGGCTGGGAAGCATTGAGCTCAGGTAGGACTACAGTCGCAGCACCAGCAGCAGGGATTGCGGGGGGCAAAAAAATGAGAAGACGAACCCTTGGCTGTGAGGCGCACAAACTGCGCAGCTTTCTGTTTACTGAACGAAGGCCAACTCCGACGGAAAGCATTGCCAGAGTGAGGAGAGGCGTCTGCTGAGCCATATTACAACATACTGTATTTACAGTGCACATTATTACCACATGCTTCTGACTGTAGGCCCCGTGTCCACAGAGCGCCTTATTCTGCCAAAGAGGCACTAGGGAGAGCATCCGTCAAGCCTTTCATCAAAAATAAACTCCCAGCACTTTTTGTATTGCTCCTATGACGACAATATCTCTACAACTAGGTCAAGCTTCGCCTCCTTGGATTCATTAACCGTTTGTGCTTCTTTATATTTGTTTGCAGACTTTTTTCACCGTAACAACTATTGCAAGATGCTTTCTCTCATACTTTGTACAATTGAGCTTGTCAACACTTAATCTGACAGCAGGAGAGCGAGGACGACGAGATTCAGACGAAATCAGAGATTTAAGTCACATACTCACTGTCAGCAACATTCAGGGTGCTCGATCTGCTCATAGAAATGGGCCTTATGGTATTTCTATGATACAGTAGACACTGTCAAAAACAACATCCAATTTCTACAGTGATGTGAAAATGTGAGGGCTTTTGATCCCACCACATTTAAAACAATTTGAAAGAGATGTCAGCCCTCAGAAAAAGGCGCTATGTGGAAACTGTCCCTTATGATGAGAAAATGCTCAAGTGTCAAGACATTATGGCATCAATTAAAGGGGCCCTATTATGCTAATTTTCAGGTTCATATTTGCATTTTGTGCCTCTACGGTGCTTTAATGTTCAAAAAGGTCTTTATTTTTCTCATACGGCCTGTGCTGCAGCACCTCTTTTCACCCTCTGTCTGAAACCAGAGCCCAGCCTGCTCTGATTGGTTAGCTGGCTGCCTCTGTTGTGATTGGTCAACCACTTAAGAGATGTCACGTATAATGTGTTCGAGCGCTAGCCAATAGAAACACGTTTCATTGTACCTATAGAACACACTACAGGAAAGACCAAACCCCAAAAAGCATAATAGGGTCACTTTAGGGTAAATCAAGCACACCTCCTCCATTCATGAATCCAACTTCAGAGTTAGTAATGTGTTCAATAAACTGTGTCGCCATTGAAGTCGGGAAACCGCCCCAGTCTCGTGCACTCACTCACCCAGCACTGAGCCGATCTTATTGGTCAGGACGATGTCGGTGTGGTCGAGCCAGCCCCCCCCACACAGGCCCTCTTTGAAGCGGTTGAGGATGGACTGGTTGGAGAGCAGCACCACCAGGATCCACAGAGCCGCCGTGACCGAGCTCGAGTGAAGGTGTTCCTCCATGAACATCAGGAGCCAGTCAAAGCCCAGCGTCCGCACCAGCTCCTCACAAGCTCTGTAGGGGGAAGAAAGAGAGCACATGTGGTAAACTGACAGAACAATACATTTTCCAAGCATCAAGGTGGACTATTAGCGGTACTTACTGGGCGTTGACAGTGCACTTCTCTTTGGTGGTGAAGAGCAGTCTGAGCAGGTTGTCAAGCAGTCGGTTTCTCAGCAGAATAATGTTGGCTGACAGGAGACCACCGAAATCATCGTCATTACCTGGAGACATATAGACGTTTCCAGAAGGGAAGAGACATATCAGTGAGAGAATTCCTCAACCATACTGTAAGCAGGCTAAAACGGCTCATAACCGAACATTCATTCATCTATTTGATTCGCCAAATATGATTCTTAATACCTGCTCTTCTATTAAACAGGCAATAACATCCTTGTTGAGGTGGCCAAATCCTTTCATTTTTCCTTACCTCCATCTATCTTTTCATCGTTATTGATTTCCATGACGACAAACTTCTCACATACAGCAAATGTGGGAAGAGTAGAAGAGATGAACTGGCCAAACCTGGGAGGTGAAAAAAAAGTGCTAAGTTGCTTTGTGTTTTTTGCTTTACTTTTGACAGTTTTTAAGACAAGCATTGAGAATAATCTAAATAAAATGTGTTTTACAATTATTATTATAATTTTTTGAAATTGCGCACTTTAATGCTATGATCTACATGAGGTTAGATACTAAGTCAAATCCCAAAAATATATATGTCAGATAGATGTGGCACACAGACATTTGTGATAAACCCATATTTAGAACAATCATTTTCTTGGTATTCTGTAGCCAGCCTGTTTTTTTGTTTTCCAAAAAAAGGGATATCAGAAACTAGCTTATTAGCATCAAGTGGTAAGCAGACTTTTTCCACATAAAAAAAAAAAGTCTGCTTTGTGCGTAATGTGGTGTCACTCTGTATCGTGTAAATGTGTTTCCTTCTGTGGTCAGTGGTTGACCAAGTGCAAGGCCCAAGCAAAGCTTTTGCTGTGATGATTTGTGGTGTGAATGTGTGCCTTTACGAACAACTTGAATATCCCATTGTTACTTTATCATGCTTCACTAAGATGTAAAAGAAAGAGGGTTAGGGGTAACTCATTACATTTGTTTGTAAAACAGTAAAGTATCACGTTACTGTTGATAACAGCAGTAATTGCATAACAGCTACCAAACACAAAATTATCTCATTGATATAAAGAGCAGAAAACAGATGTCTTGCGTATAGAATGTTCCTTATTAGATGAAGGATTTGTGCTGATCAGGGCATACATGAGATTTAACTATATATTGTTATTTGCCATTTGGTTTGTGGTGCATCTCAGGTGATTACACAGAGTAATCCAAAAGTAATCTAACTAGTAATTACTTTCAGCAGTTAGTGATTTAGTAAAGTACAGCATTACTAGTGATGTGTAATGCATTACTTTGTTTGAAAACCACCCCAGCACCGATAAGAAGGTTATTCCATGTATAGGTATATCTGTACTGACCTCAGCAGATCGTACTGGTTGGGGAAGCCCTGCAGCAGCAGACTGAGCACGTTGCTGATGGCAGCTACGGTGGGCTGGGACAGGGAGGCGTCCCTCAGGGTCAGCAGCAGCCGGGGGACCAGCTGGAACTCCCTGAGCAGTTTGGCATTCTTAGCTGCCTCGCTGTTAGATAGACAAAGTGGTTAACACAGTTACATCTGATTTTAGCTTCTTCGCAGAAATGTAAGTGCAAACTGTGTAACAAACAAAAAGAGTTTGGGCACTTGCCTGGACTCTGTCAGCAGTTCGATGAAATGCTCAAACAGAGAGAGATGGAGCTCGTAGGGAGCGTGGAGCCACACCTGAGGAGCAGACGGAGAGAAAAGGAGCAGAGTGAGACACAAACACATCCCTGCCATGAACTATGAACTCCTCCCTCACAGCGTCATGTTCTCTGAACTGGACTTAGTGCACCATCAGCAGCCACACCCTTTTAAACTAGAATTATAATTTTTTTTGTTCTTGTTGATATTTGACTCTAATTTCTAATATTTATTCATTTACATATAAAACAATGTTAATGTCTTACAACTTTGGGACTTATAATTCACTATGATCCTTGCAAAAGAGGGATCAGCAATTAGACAAAGTGTGGGACACGTCACTCATTATGTTATGAAGCCGTAAGGAGGGAGGGGTAGCGGTGCTGACCAGAGTGTGACGGTGGTCGCTGAAGTTGGCACCCTGTCTTAAAAATATTAGATCATGTATTTATCGTCTGCATATAAAAGTTTAATATTCTGAAAGCCAGGACTTTGTTTAAAATCAACCAAAACCCCCAAATGACCAAAACACCAGTTTTTTTTAGATGAATCCAAGATTATCTCGGGATCAGGCGTTGTGACATCCAAGTGATTTTATAGAGCGGGTCACAAATGGTGCTCTCACCTGCAGAAACGCTGAAGAATCTAAATATATTTGGTGAGTTTGGTAATTGTATTAGCATTTGCTGGCATGGTGGATCCCTTTGCCTCACCTCGAAGTCACAGAGCAGGTCCTGGAAAGCGGTGGAGTTGGGAATGATGGAGGTCTCGTGGCCGCTGTCCACGGTTCCCACCAGAGAGAAGGTGAGGTGGAGGATGTGGCTGTTGAGCAGCGAGCGCTTCTTCTTCAGCAGCATAGCCAGCAGCTGAAAAAGACAGAAAATAAAATGGCAATTATTTTAGGCCAGTCTATTTGCTTACAATGCCATGTGACACTTCTGACTACTACAATGTACTTTTGATTGTGCATTCAGCAGTTAGTTCAAGATCACAGCCATCGTGGAATATATTTATCAAGAACTAAAATTAGCTGAGTTAAGGAAACAAAAATAAGCGACTAAATTGAAATATAAATAACACTTAAACTGAGAATGTTGTACATTTAAAAACTGGTCATTTTTTTTAATTTTGTATTTCTTTCACGTAAAAGGAAAAAAAAAGAAACGCTAAAAAACTCCTTTCAGATTAAAAGCACAAGGTCATGTTGCTTTGTCTTGTTTAATTTATTCTGTTTCTGACAAACTAAGTCAATGAAAAAAGACTGTTGGTTACCAGCGTAACCCCGGTTCTCAGAGTAGCACAAGTGAGACATCTCACAATGGGATACGTACAGTAGGGAGGCGCATCCCACAGTGAGAACGAATGATATGAATAAGAGCAAATGTTGGTAATAGGAAGGATTTCAAACTAAAAACTAAAAATATCAGTACTTTGTTAAACTTGTGTCTCACCTGGTAGCCTTTGATGCGCTCCATCTCCTTGCTGGCCAGGGGGTTGCTCTTTACAACACACACCAAAGCTTTGACAGCTGCATACAGCCCTTCCACATCTGACGCCATGGCAACCAAGCCCAAGATGGCTGCCGCCCCACCAACATATTGCAGGTTGGTGGCCACGGGTTTGGCCACGAAGGCGCGGACGCCTGAAAAAAGGGTGTTTTTCTTCAGAAAAGCTGCAGATCTAACACGTACATTTCATATTCAGGAGCTTCTGACATACAAAAGAAATGTGTATTTCTTCATGACATTATGGTTTACCCAAGTATCCAATGACGGCAGCTCCGATGGTACGTGCTGGTCCGTTGAGATGGCCGGCGGCGTTATGGATCAATTTGACAGGAGTGGCGTTTTCATGAGAGGACACAGTGAGCTGCAGAGGGAACACATTGAAAACACACACACACACATACACTTTGGGATTTTAGCCTTTGCAGAACATTTACATACACACAAACCTATATAACACACAACAAGGAAAGGTATAACAATGGGGCTTCTTTAAAAGCGTTTATTAGGCAGGTTAGAATGATACATGGGAAAAAGCAAAAAAAAACTGTGAAAAATGTAATATGGCATTTTGCCCACGTTTTAATAGGACCTGGTGATGACTGTTTTTTAAAACAAAACACTGATGTATTTCAGTGCTATAAACGCTCTCTTCCTGTTATAATACAAGTCTCTGCGGCAGCTGAAATGCTGCCTCTGTACTTTTTTGCTGTTTTTTGTGAGCTGCCGTGGGCCGAGGCATAGCAAGGAGAGAGGAGCATCCTGGGAAATAAGTTGACAGGTGAGGAAAAGAGATAATGGCGGAGGAGGGAGCTCATTTGGAGCTGTAACACACGCATAATAACATGGTGTGTTAGTCATTGTAAATGTAAACATATCGTTGAATGAACATTCATGCAAGTAGATTGGCTGCAAATGTTCTGGGTGTGTTTGACCTGTACATTTATTAGTGTGTGTACAAACTATTTAGAAATAGTGAGTGAGCAGTAGAAACCTACATAGAAGAAAAAGTCAATCTGCTTTTAAAACAAACATTTGAATTTTAACCAAAGAAAATCTACAAAACGACATATATTTAAGTATTCAGTTATCACTTGAATGGTACTGAATAGTTAGATTACTAACAACAATCCAAAATGTCCCCATCATTTCAATAAATTAGAATCACTTTGTAGAAGGGGCTTTTTCTAATACAAGTGCTTTATGGTATTACATAATGGAGTATAAGCCAGATAACAATCCAAATATGTATATAGGTCCATTCAAATGCTCAACATTTGACTGTGATATCCTGTTTCAGTTACTTTATCACTTTATTTTTAAATGTTTGTATTATTATTCTTTTTTAAATTCTATTTTATCTTAATGTTTTACCGTGAATCCTGTCTTTCACTCTGACCCTGTTGCTGCTAGAAACGCCTGAATGTCCCAAACACCTTGAAACTGTTTTTCATCACTAGTGGATTAGATAACTGGAATTTGCTCCTCCCTGGCGTCAATAAAGAACTCTTCTACCTCCAGTTCTTCCAAAACTCTGATTCTAGGAATGAACTCAGGCTAGTCAAAGTGACCACATCACACCGATCCTCGCTTCCTTGAACTGGCTACCTTTAGAATCCATTTAAAGATCTTATTGCTTACTTACGCAGCCCTGAGTTTTAGTTTTGCTGATATAGGCTTAGTTTGTCGGGGGACATCTTACTTCTTCCTTCTCTCTGTCTATACCTGTGTACTCTCATGTTCCGATTAACCCAGCTTCCCCAAATTTCTTTCTTTTTGGTGTCTATATACGCCGGGATCCGGAGTCATGGATGATCCTGCGGTCCTGTTTCATGGATTGCGAGTCCTGGATCTTGAGTCGTGGCTGTGTTCCTGGATCATAAGTCCTGGATGGATATCCTCGTGGATTCATCTTCCTATTATACACACATGCATTTCCAAACATTTGGTCTACCTATGTTGGAAATATATTATCTTTTCAATTTACACACGGCATCTATTGCACGTCTGTCTGTCCTGGGAGAGGGATCCCTCCTCTGTTGCTCTCTCTGAGGTTTCTCCCATTTTTCCCTTTAAACTGTGGGTTTTCTCTGGAAGTTTTTCCTTGTACGATGTGAGGGTCTAAGGACAGAGGGTGTCGTATTTTCATACTGATATTCTGTACAAACTGTGAAGTCCACTGAGACAAATGTAACATTTGTGATATTGGGCTATATAAATAAACATTGATTGATGATTGATTGAGTTGTAGTCTTTTATACCTTGTTGACTACAGACGTCAAAATGAGGCGGCCTTCCTTATCAAAACCTAAATACTGTCTCTAACAGTAACCCTCCCTCCCTGTGTCCCTCCCTCCCTGTGTCCCTCCCTCTGTGTCCCTCCCTGTGTCCCTCCCTCTGTGTCCCTCCCTCCCTGTGCCCCTCCCTCCCTGTGTCCCTCCCTCTGTGTCCCTCCCTCCCTGTGCCCCTCCCTCTGTGTCCCTCCCTCCCTGTGTCCCTGCAGCTCCACGACCCCCGGAGAGACGCGCCTCCTGGCCTCGGAGATCTCCTCTCTCCTCTCCTCCTCCTCCTCCTCCTCCTCCTCCTCTCAGCCTGAAGAGAGGCTCAGCTCCAGGCGCCGGGCCCAGTTCTTTCTGGGGTCCAACAACAAGAGGGCCAAGACCGTCACCCTGCACATCCAGGGGCTGGACGACTGGGTGGGCTGCATGCTGTGATCTATGGTTCAGACAGGGGGGGTTAAAGGTCTCCTATCATGCATTATGCCCTTTTTCATGTCTTTAATACAAGAGAAAACGAGTTTCTGCTCCATACTGTTTCAGAAATAATCCTTGAAGGGGGGCTGGACGACTGGGTGGGCTTCATGATGTACACCGGGGCTATTCCATTAGTTTGGAATGCGGCCCGGTTGATGACAATGATCCAAAGCCGGGAAAAAGATGGCTTGCAATATGAGCAATGTTAAGAGCTTCAGATACAGTACAGGGAGGCGGGGCTTATGGGATGTTAACCTGTGTTCTGATTGGTAGAGGAAGGGGTATTATGGGATGTTAACGTGTGTTCTGATTGGTAGAGGAGGGGGGTATTATGGGATGTTAACCTGTGATCTGATTGGTAGAGGAGGGGGTATTATGGGATGTTAACCTGTGTTCTGATTGGTCGCTCAGAGCCGCAGGTCTCAGTGTTCAGAGGCTCTGCTGAGGACCAGAGGAGTCATCAGCTTCACCTTCAAGATGATCCAGAGGAGGTGCATCGTACGCATCCAATCAGAGCTCAGGGCCGAGGTGAGACTCCCCCTGCTCTTCATCTTCTTCCTCTTCATCTTCTTCCTCCTCCTCCTCTTGATGATGTCATCTCTTCTTCAGGTTTTAGCCTCAGCGATAGCTTCTACTCAGGTGATGAAGGCTCTTCAGGTGGTGAGAGGAGAGAACGGGGAGGAGGTCAGTGTGATATTTGCTATATTTAGATGTATGTACCTCTCGGTGTTTACAGCTCAGAGGCAACTCGGCAGGACCAACCTTTAATAGAACTGACAGCTAGCTTCACGTTAGCCACAGGTGATTATTTAGAGACGTTGCTGCAGACTAAGAAGGAGAAGAAGGACCTTCAGTTTTCCACTCAAGAGCGTTGTGTGTGTGTGTGTGTGTGTGTGTGTGTGATAGTGTTTCATAGTGTGTGTGAAGGGTATTTCTGAATAATGTCCCTAACGGCCCCTCATATATATATATATATATATATATATATANTGTGGTCCTGGATCATAAGTCCTGGATGGATATACTCGTGGATTCATCTTCCTATTATACACACATGCATTTCCAAACATTTGGACTACCTATGTTGCAAATGTATTATCTTTTCAATTTACACACGGCATCTATTGCACGTCTGTCCGTCCTGGGAGAGGGATCCCTCCTCTGTTGCTCTCCCTGAGATTTCTCCCATTTTTCCCTTTAAACTGTGGGTTTTCTCTGGAAGTTTTTCCTTGTACGATGTGAGGGTCTAAGGACAGAGGGTGTCGTATTTTCATACTGATATTCTGTACAAACTGTGAAGTCCACTGAGACAAATGTAACATTTGTGATATTGGGCTATATAAATAAACATTGATTGATTGATTGACTGAGAGGTTATGTATCTGACCTTTCATTGCCTTATGTCCCTTCTCCCTGGTCGATCCAAACACTTCGCTGTCAGGAATCATGGACTTTAGAACGACCTGCCTGAGGAGATCAGGGCTGCAAACTCTGTCTGCTCTTTTCAATCTCTTTTGAAACACATTTTTTCTCACTTTATAATATGTTTCATTACCTGTTTGTTTAACTCTCTTAGTTTAGTGTTTAGTGGCTGGTGTTTAGTCCAATTCATTTTCTGTGTGTATTTAAATGTGTTTTTTATTATTATGTGAAAGTACTTAACAACTCTGTTTTAGATGTGGTACTGACAATTTGGACGCCAGATTTACTCATTCTGACTTCAGTCTGAATTTGCTTTGAATGTTTGTACAAAAAAAAAAAATTGATGACAGATATGTTGCAGCGATGGGACTTCTGTAGTACACAAGGTGGCCTGTGACACTGGCTCATGTTCTCCTTTTCTTTTTAAAGGAGAACATGACCCTCACCTATAATCCAGCCCAGACAAGGACTTTTCATTTGAAAATCCTCCTTTTCTAAAGCCATAGTGCAGCTGTATTCAGGTGGAAAATGCTCCAATTCATCTCAAAGATGTGGTTGTACAAATAGTGGCTTTAGAATAATACAATACTAGCATGGTGAGTTTCAACCTGCCGAGTAGCGGGCGGTCTGACCTGTTTGGCGATGGCCTTGCTGTCCAGTTTGTTGTAGACTTTCCTGATCTTGGCAACGGTGAGAGTGGAGACCGAGAGCGCGTACAGACTGAAGGACACCTTCTCCTCTGGTACCAACGCTACCGGGGATGCGGGGGCTACCTCCGTCTTCGAGTCTTTACCTTGAGAAATTAAATATTAAATGATAAACGGAGCATTCGGTGAACTGAAAGGAATAAGAGTGACACTTTGAGGGCCACTCACAGGGCAGGTAGACGGCCTGGAAGCTGCCCACGTAGATGGGTCCCAGTTCAAAGATGGCAGCGACGCTGGTGGCCGGCAGCACCTCCTCCAGGAAGTGGCTGGGCCCCAGACGCCACACCAGGCTGGAGAGCTGTCTCTGGGCGGGGGGCGTGCCCACGTACCCGTACACGGTGCTCAGCACGGGGGGGTTGGTGGAGCCAGAGCCTCCCGGAGCACTGTGGACATAGTGCAGCTGGAAGAGAGAGAAGCTTGTTTTTAATCATAATAATACATAATAATATAATAATACATTTGATTTATAGAGCGCTGTGGCAGCAGGGTGTGGTTAAAGAGCCGGCTGCTGGAGTGATGGGGGTGGCTCACTAAATAAAAGCATGTTGGTAACCTGGTGCTGGTCTCTCACAGTAGGCTAGGTCCTGGAGGAGCTAACGCCAGCCCTGAGAAGCCCTACATGGCGAGCCATAGTGTGGACTGTTTCATGTTGCCCCTCATTTTTCGTTTGCGGCTGATTAAACCCTCTTTTTCAAACATCCCTCATCTCCTTTCGTTTTTCCCCCTGGGTGAGCACAGCACTCTCACAAGCGCTTTTCAAGAAACTCAAAGATACTTTATGTAGCTAACATGTTGGGATTTTAGCCTGTGCAGACCATTTATAAGCACAAAACTCTATACAAGTCGATATAGCCCAAAAAACATAATCAGGCCTTTTTATTGAGTAACTGAAGAGTACCAGAGGGATTCTATGAGAGAGGATTTGTTTTCCCTAAAACACCGCCACAAGGACTGTCACATGCACACAGACGCATGACAGGCATATGAGCGGCTCGTGGTTTCCTGTTTGAGGAGCTCGGCAGGAAATGAAGCCGCTGTTATCAGCAGTGCGGAGAGGAGGCTGAGGCTTGTGGTCTGCTGCGCCGTTCCCCCGCTCTGAACTCTAATCTCAGGAGAATCTGAAGTCACCAAACCACAAGCCACATCACAGCGCACTGACTGACTGTGTGAAGCCTCAGTTAGAAAATGTGTTTCTGTACATCTTCTGAATCGACATAACGCTCTGTTTAGCTAATTGTACAAGCAACTAGTTTTTTATTTATTTGATGAGTGAGATATCTTCCCTTTATTATTCTATCTATGCACCATCAGATTCTGAACATATAGTCATGTACCAATGAAAAACGGTTAGTCAACTGAAATAAAATATGGATAACTAAATACAAAATATACATTTATAAAACAAAAATATAGGTATATGTTGTACATTTCTGCTAGGTTGCTTCCTCTTTGATGACTACAAAGCTCTGCCACTTTTAATTCTGAAATATTATATTGATTCAGAGTAAATGCCTTATTCCTATGTCAATTATTTTAAATAAAAATAATTATATATTTTTTCCTTTTTTATAACTTAATTTTTCATATACACTTTATTATTTATTAATTTTACTTCTGCATTTTTACAAAAAAACAATTATATTTTATTCTAATATTGGGTTTATGTATGCACCATTTCGCACCATTTCAAATTCCCTGAATTTGTACTTGTACTGATTCAAAACAATATTTCCCTGTGCAAACTACTGAGTATACTTTACTATATGACATGATTGAGCCAATGAGTTTACCTTGACAGTGCTGATGAGCTGTCCGTCCAGGTACAGAGTGGTCATGCTGTTCTTCAGCATGCCTTTGCTCATGACCAGCACCAGGTGGTGCCACTGGCCCTCTGCGATCAGCTCTCCGCAGCGGAAGCGTGCGCAGCAGGGCAGGATCTCATAGAAGGCGGCTTCTTCACTCGACTCGTCCGCTGCTTGACGGGGGGAGGGAGGAGTGGGGGGGGGGAGAATCGATGAGTCAGACGTCAAAACATGACCTCTGGGTAACTGAGTGTAATCCCACAAGGCACTGATTTATAGATATGCAGAAAATCAGTCCACACATTCAGAAGGGAAACCTGTGTGAAGGAACAATTGGGAGGGAAGCTATACACTCATATGTCATTTAAGATAAATTATTAACATTCTGCCTTTTTGACACATCTTTTAAAATATGTTGGCAATTATGCAACACAGTTGTGAATTGTGTTCAGGTCAAACTTAGCAAAGGAAAGGTTCCATGATGAGTTTCTATCAGGGCATCTCTGCAATTAGGTTTGCTAAATCATGTAAAGATTTGTGCAGAATTCTGTTTAATGCAACCTCTTTTAAGAAATGCACAGCTCTACCACTTGAAGTCTGCACATATTTGATTTTTAAGTAAAAAGTCATTTTATTATTTTACTTTCCTTTTTGTATATCTATATTGCTTGTCTATTTTCTTTTAAAGTTTTTAATACAGTTGTTAGAATAGATCAATATTTTCTCCCTTTTTTGTATAACTTCATTCTTCTTACTGTGTTTATGTATGCATCATCAATGATGACTCCATCACTGCAGAGTCCCACCCTGTGGCCGATTCCATAACAACTAAACTCGCATTGTATTCACTCCTACTAAGCTTACTATTTGGACTCCAGCTTGGGGAGAAACAGATTACATGTAATGGTATTACGTAATCAGGACACACACAAAGATAACTGTATTCCACTATAGTTACATCAAAAAGATGTAACCAGATAACTGGAACATATCTAAAAAGATGGGCATTAACAGCAGGATTTCAAGGTTACTAAGAACATTAAAAAGAGCATATTGTGTTTGTTGTAAACGGAGCAGATTTACAATTCCTACTGTTCTGTAGGCTAATACTTTGAATGTTAATCTATTCGCCTGTTGCCTGAATTTGCTTTGTAGTTTTCACTTTCTTTCGTTCATTTATTCTTTTTTTAATTCAGCAGTTGAACATATATGTTCATAAAATAGTGTGTGCGAGCTTAACTGTAATTATTAAACTAAAACGCAGCACTTTCTGTTATCTCAGATATTATATCAGATTTTTCAAAACTGTAGTATGTGCTCACGTGTTTCATTGTTGGTGTATAGGCTGAATATGCTTAATGAAAGTCACGTTTTTCTATTAATAAAATCTCTGACCAGAGGACACATTTTCTGATATCTTGGTTCATTATTTTCCAAGGTCACATTGTCCTGTTGTCTTACATATGTTATGTGTTCCTGCTGTACTCACAGTATGACTGCAGCAGCTCCTCCTTGGTGGAGACGGTTAGCGAGCGGTCCTTGGTGGACAGAACCACCGCCAAACACACGTAGTGCTGCTCTGAGGACGTGGCCCGGCGCACCACCGTCAGCAGGCGCACCGGGTGGGCGTGAGGGGCGGCGCTGAAACGCTCCACACAGAACCAGGTGGAGTAGCTGAGGCCTGACGGAGGAGGAAACAAGCGCTCCCCTGGAGGTGAAAGAAGGAAAGATGGAGGAAAAGGGGTTAATAACAAGTTCTGACTTCATCGTTATGTAAAACTCGCGCTTCTATTGGCTAGCGCTCCATCATATTGTCAGTGATAGGCTAAGGGGCGGGTCATCTCTAATCAGTTGACCAATCACCACAGAACCGGCCAGCTAACCAATCAGAGCAGACTGGGCTCTGGTTTCAGACAGAGGGTTAAAAGAGGTGCTGTAGGGTTAGATATTTAGAACACCATTGTAGGCAGATAAATCTTTAACTTAACTTCATTCAGATAATTTCATTTATTTAACCTTTACCCAATATTGAGCTTACTGCGGTTTGAAAAATGCACTTACCATATTGTGATTTTGAAAAATATTGCAATAATTGTGCAACCCTCATTTAGATATTTTTGATATACTGTGTCTGCCAAAACTGGACCGAATTAAAATTGGCACACAGCCACAACTATCCAGGATAGATTTTAGAAATAACGCCTTACAGGAGGACAAACCCAACATTACGTCTGATTTGTGAAGGCTGTGGAGGCTCATACGCTGCAGTCATACTGAGGCTGTGGACTTGGTTCAAAGGGAATATTTGTTCTGTATATCAGTAGATGTTGTGGAGCTCAGTGAGACTGAGAAAACTGGGGCTATTTTTGATGAATGAGCTTCTATAGGATGTCATCCAAGGATATGGGTCAGATAGGAGTGGGATAGAGAAAGGAAGAAGGGGAATGAAACAAAGGAGGCGAGAAAAGAGAGAAAAAAAACAGTAAAGAAGGAACAGAGTATGGCATGGAGGAAAAGAGACAAAGAAAGCATGGAGGGTTGGAGACGGAGGTGAGGGATGAAAAGGAAGGAGAAAAGCAGGATGTGAGTGACGGGGAAGAAATGAGGGAGGAAAAGAGCGAGGTCTATAAATAGTGACTGGCCGGAGAAGACAGGAGGAGGAGAGTGTGGGGGGGATGAGTGCAGAGGGAGCGGATGAATAGGTAAACAGATTGAGCAAATGATAGTAATGTATGAGTGCGTGAGCGGGGGGTTCGATTAATAGAGGAGTGGAGGAGAAGGGGAGGAGGGGAAAGAAGGAGAGGTGAGAGAGGACAGCTGAGGAAATGAGACGAGAAGGAGGAGATGGATGAGAGAAGAAGGGAGGATAAAAGGAGATGAGACGAGAGAGGAAGAGAAGAGAGACAGGAAAAGAGATAAGAGGACGGGAGGAAGGAGAAGAGGAAAGGAGGTGAGATAAGTGTGAAAAATATAAATTGTTATAAAGGTCCAAACGTTTTTATAATGTTAGTTATGTCACTTAGTTATTTAAATATATGTTATTTGTTTTTGTCCTTGAGCCATAGATGTGTACTTAATTGTCTTTATTTTCTTTGTATTATTACTAATGTTTAATATTCTTCTCTATATTGAATAAGTTAGCTTTTGCTGTAACACTTTACATTTCCCCACTGCTACTATCATAAATGGATTCTGATAAGGAGATTAAAGCAGGGGAGAAAAGTGGAGAGCAGATAGACGATGAGGAGAGGCGGAGGAGGCGGATGAGGAGGAGTTGAGGATATGAGTAGATGAGGAGGTAAGGAT